TTCCTTCCTTCCTTCCTTCCTTCCTTCCTTACTTCCTTCCTCCTGCCCTCCCTCTTTTCCTGCCTTTCTTACTTCCACCTCTCCTTCTTTCCTTCCTTCCTTCTTTCTTTATAAGGCCATCATCCTTCTGGAACACAATGCCCTGGATCCACTGGGGTGCTTCACCGAGGAGACCCATGGACTCTATGGCATTCACATCCACGTCATCTCACCAACCACAGATTCACTGGGCTGACTCTCAATGCAGTTAGCGGTTTGAGTTTGGCCCTTGTTCGCACATTTCTGAGGATCTATTTCCTTAACAATTGCTCATAAGGTAATATTTATTTAGCGGCTCACCTGTGAGGCCCCTAAGTGATTCGTTGCCACAAACGGATAAACAGGTTTTCCTTAAAAATTGGGGTTTTCCTTAAAAATTGGGGGCAGAGGAGGTTTTTTTAAATTAAGTCTAGTTTGAAAAACCAACATTGTTTATAATAAACCATGAAGAAACCAAGAATTCTGAAACCCAAGGACAGATGAGAGACGCTCCTCTTCAAATGACTGTTTTTGGGCCACCCCCCCCCCCAGGATCCTGCCCAGGGAATTAGCCCTGTCTTCCGCCCTCTCGGTTTGCAAAATATCTAGCGCCGGGCCTCTTTCCTACTCATGAGGAGACATCCATTGGCTGTGAGAGACCCCACGGGTGGCTTGATCCTTGCCAGATTCCTGGACAAGGGTTTTGGACTCTGCCGATTGCTGTAGGTGTCGCCAAAAGGAGGGAAGTTCGGGATCCGTGAGGAGGGAGTTTCTTTACAGCAGGGCCGTAAGTCCTGTGCTGGTTCTCCAAGCAAAACGCCAGGCCCAGAAGAATCCTGAAATTGCAGAAGAACTGAACTTGAAATTAGAATTACAATTCCCAGTGTAGATCTGCTGCAACCGGACTGCACTTGTTGTCGAAGAGGAAGGCTGAATCGGATTCCACTTCTCCATGAGAACAGGCCCAAGGAATCCTGGGGGAACACAAGCAAGATCCCTCTAGAGTCCCATGGCCAGAATCCGTTGGCCAATGGGACTCAAAAAGGGATTAGACCAGTGGCTCAAGAGTAATTCTGTCCATGGTTGTGCCAACCTGGGGCTTCCTCGTTTTGGGGCAGTGCCTCTCAGTGGTTAAGGTCTCTGGCTATGGAGCCAGAGGCTGGGAGTTCGATTCCCCCACTGGGCTTCCTGTGAGTAGAGTGAGCCCGGGTAGCCTTGGGCAAGCTGCACCGTCCCAGAAATATACCCATCAGAAGAACGGTATGGTCAACCCCTCCTGAGCAGCCTCTCCCTGGATGACCCTGAAAAGGGCCACCAGATGTCAAGACTGACTTGATGGCTCACAATTATAATTATTGTTAGACTTAGGGCCCTTGTACACCACTTCTTACAGGATTTCTCCACCGACGTGATGGGTCTTGCCGGGAGAGAACGAGGTTCAGCCCCACAGAGGGGTCCTCGGAGAAAAGTCGCCCTGAACTGGAACTGAGCAGAAACGCCCTTGACCTCTCTTGACCGCTGTTCTTTTACGACGACGAGAACGCCGCCATGCAACCTAGTCCTGCCCTCGTCTACCCTCACCTGCAACCAAAACCAAGGATCAGACCATGGGGTTCTTCTTTCCCCCCCTCTTTTGGGGGATTACAACTCCCAGAATCCAGTAGGCGGCACAACCACTGTCCAATCTAGCTGAGGATTCTGGGTGCTCTAGTCCAAGAAAAGCAATATTAAGTTTGTCAGGAATCAGCGAGTCCCTGCTATCGAGCAAGGGATTATTTATCTGGGTATCTGGGTGCCATCTCTAACACAGGAGTCTCAAGTGGCTCAAGAGCCCACGGCGTTTACTCATTGCTCAGATGCGTTGAGCTTCAGTTCCTCAAATCTCAGACCTTGGCCGTGCTTCTAGGAGCTGAAGGCGAACCATCTGGAGAACCAAGGCTCATGAATGTCCAGCTGAACACACCCTATTAAAACAGGAGGCGAAAACATTGGGGCCTCGCTTTTCTTCCTCAATGTTCTCAGCCACAGCGATTCGGGTGGAAGAGAAGGACAAATGCCTCCATCAGCTGCCCTGTGGCTCTTTCGACAAGTATAGGAATGTGTAGTGGTTTGGCCATTGAGAGATCTGAGTTTTGGTCCCCAATCAACCGTGAAACTCACTAGATGACCGTCATTCAGCTGGTTCGCTCTCTTTCCTCCTGGCCTACCTCAAAGGCAGGTTGCTGTGAGGATTAAGTGGGGAGAAGGGAGGAAGGGAGATACATGCACCCCCTTGACCCCACTGGAGAATGAAACTCAACAGGGCTAGGTGGGGAAAAGAAGCCAAACGCACAATTATGAGATGGGGAATACCTGGTTCAGCAAAACTACAAGCAAGAAGGATCTTGGAATCATCCTAGATCACAAGCTAAATATGAGCCAACCGTGTGATGTGGCAACAAGAAAGGCAAATGCAATTTTAGGCTGCATTAATAGAAGTTTAATTTCCAAAACCCGCGAGGTACTAGTCCCCCTCTATTCAGCACTGGTTAGGCTTCGCCTTGAAGTTCTGGACACCACACTTCAAGAAGGATGCTAACAAATTGGAACAAGTTCAGAGAAGGACGACGAAGATGATGATAAGAGAGTTGGAAACCAAGCCTTAGGAGGAAAGGCTGAAAGACCCGGGCATGTTTAGCCTTGAGAAAATAAGACTGAGGGGTGATAGGAGAGCACGTTTCAAATATTTGAAAGGCTGTCCTACAGAGGAGGGGCAGGATCTGTTCTCGATCATCCCAGAGTCCAGGACACAAAACAATGTTAAAGGAAGCCAGATTTCGGCTGAGTATCAGGAAAAACTTCCTAACTGTTAGAGCAGTACAACAATGAAACTGATGACCTCTGGTGGAGGTGCTGAGCCCTCCAGCTCTGAGAGAGAGAGAGAGAGAGAGAGAGAGACCACCCTCTCCCATCACTCAGAGAGTTGTTGTTGTTTTGTGTTGGCTTTTCAGGCAAGTTTGCGTCAGTCTGCAGGCTGTCAGGGTCCCCCTCCTTCCTCACCCGGCAAAACAAAAAAATAATAATGGGAAAGCAGAAGAGAGCCGCCCCCTCGTCACCGCAGCGAGCTTGCCAGCCGCTCCAGACAGCCAGAGAGGCCACCAGACGGTGGCTCGAGAAGACGCACAGCTGGCTGGCGCACCTTCTCCCTCCAGGTGAGAGGCTGCGGAGCCCGCTTGGCTAGCCTTCCCCATCTGCCTGGCTGTGTGGCCTGAGCAGAGGTCCAGGCGGGCTTGGGGGGGGAGGCGGGGGGGCTCCCTGACAGGATGATGATGATGCTTCTTCACCGTGCCACCTGTTGCAGTCTCCCCATCCCCTCCCGCCCGGCTTGTGTCCCCATCTCATGTCTTATGCCTGGTTGCCTTTCAGGGAGGAGCGGGAGCGCCTCTGGCCATCCCTCGCCACTGCCTGGAGCACCGATCTGAGAGCAAGAGCCAGCCAGAGAGGGCTCTTCTTGCCAGGATCCTGCAAAGTTGGTCCAGCAGCCCACTCCCCTTTCCTCCTCCTTGCAGACAAGGTAAGGAAGACGCAGTGACTGTCCTCCCTCTTCTCTCTTTATTTCCGTCCTGCTGGGGTGGGGTGGGGGAAGCATCCGGCAAGGGAAGGGGCTCGCCTGCCTGCTGTGCCTCCGATTTGTTCACTCCAAGGGCTGTGTAGACACTTCAGCTTCCTGGGCTGAACGTTTGCGCAGCCTTCAGCTGTCAGGCACACACACGGACCGAGAGAGCGATGGAGAGAGAGAGAGAGAGAGAGAGAAAATCCATGCTCTTTATTCCCTGCCAAAAAGGCACCAATCCCAACCGGTTTTTTGTTTCCAAAGGCATCTGGAAAGAGGTAAGGGAACCCCGGAGATGCTTGGTTTCTGCTGAACCCCTGGCCACGGCTGCCTGTATCTGTCTGTCTGATGGGTTTTTTAAAAAAAACCTCAGCAGGACCCAAACCCAACCGGGACACCCAGCCCAGCTGCCTTGGGTGGCTTCTCTCGGTGGATCGGCCTGACCCCTTGTTTGGATATTTGACCTGTGGGGAGAGGGGGGTGGAAGAAAGGCAGGCATTACCGGACCAGATAAGGCGAGGGGCTGCAACGGACCCTGAGGCTCATCTTTCTTCCTCTCTCAGCGGATCTTGGCCAAAACGTCAGGGTTTTGCCCAGAGAACCATGACAGTGCTTCGGAAATGGTTGCTGTGGCGCTGAAGCCAAAGGTTATGGGAGGCTGCCCTTGTCTTGTTTTCCTTCCTTTCCATCGGCTGTCTCCTTCTTTCCCGTTTTCTACCTGAAACGTAAATTGTAAGCTGTGTGGGGCAGGGGCTTGACCGGCCCCTTTGCCTTCCAGGCTCTGTGTACATACACGGAGTGAGGTTTTCTCCTGGAGAAACACATGACCGTGATGAACCGTCACACCTTCAGTCAGATTTTCATTGTGGTGAGCGGTCAGGCGACACTTTTTGGGGTGCTGTTGAAATGAGTTCGTTGCGGATGGGTTCAGCTTTCAAAATCGGGGGGTGTTGCAGCTGCCTGTCATCTGAGATTCATTCCCCCGGATTCTGTATCCCATAGCTCACAATGGTGTGGACCAGTTACACTGATTTTTTTTGGGGGGGGGAAGCCCACCGGGAAAACATACAGGAGCAGGGCAGAGTCGGAAGACGCGCCCGAGAGCCATCTAGTCCAGCCCCCCGATGAGGGAGAGGAGGCACAAGGAGAGGTTTTCCTATTGGGAGAGGCAGGTAGTTCTGAATTTGTGGTAGTGCATCCGCTCCTGGTTTTAATCCGAACTTTGTGGCCGTTTTGGGAATCCTGCCTCCAAAACCAGTTCCGTCTCTTAGCTAGCTCCTGTGAAAAGGACCATCCCTTCTCCATCAAAAAGTCCGACCATCACAAATTGAAGTGAACGTGTGAGTGTAAAGTAGTGCTGCATGGCCACCGGTGGCATTTTGATCCGCGCTTTTTCATCATCCGCTCTCTCCTCTCAGCCGCTCCAGAGGCTCTCCCCCTTCCCCCGGGCCGAAAGATTCAAACACTGCCATAGTTTAAATCCATGATTTCAACTCTGTCCTAGCCTGCTTGCCTTCCTGTGCTTACCTGCGCCGGCAGCATGCATGCCAAGAGGCCACTTTCCAAACGATGAAGTTACACCTCCTCAGATTTCATAAACATCCCCGGAGGGGTATTAATCATCATAATAATTTATTACGGTCAGTGACCAGGAATCCCAGGGGTATTTAGTATTTCGTCACCTTGTGTGCTCACTGGTTCTGTTGTCTTGTGGTGAAACATGTAAGAATGAGTCCTTAAATTGGTTCCACTGTGGCAGCAGACCTTCAGCACCTTGGACAGTTCCTGTAAAGTTCTGGCTAAATCCCAGAGCAGACTCAGCACCCCATGAATATTGACCCAACGGCCTCCGCTGCATTGTGGGGCAGAACCCCAGTCGCTGCTCTCTGTTAAGTCTGAACACACAGCCAGAGTTCCTGGCAGGCGTACGGTCGCACCCCACATCTGATTATGGGTCCTTTGTTGAACAACCCGGGTCCTTAGCCATGCATGGGAAGAGTGGCCCCATGAATAAACAAGACAACACACACGCCTGTCCCCTTCACCATTTTATCCTCGCAACATAGCTTTGAGGAAAATCAGGCTGGGAAAGTGTGATTGCTTAAGAGAGAGAGCCCCATGGGTGGGTGGAGATTTGAACCCAGGCCTCCCGTGTCTGAGTTCTGTACTATGATCAACTGAGCAGAAAAGATCATTTCAACACAAACCACTGGCTGTGTGTGTCTTCTTCTCCCACCCCATAATTACAGGTACGGGGGGGGTGCTCTTTTCTTTTCCATGTGACCACTGTCTGCCTAAGTGTGCAAGCTGCTCTTACTGTGTCACAGGTTTCCCCACGGCATCCACACTATGCAGTTATAGCGGTTTCGTCCCACATTAAATTGCTCCATCCTATGGGATTTTGGGATTTTGGTCGCTTGGGGAGGGACTTTAGATTCCCTGCCCCTGAAATATAGGGCAGAACTCTCGAGTCCCCCACCAAACTACCAACCCCAGGATTCAATGGGTAAGGGGTAACAGCTGGATTGCCTAGGGGTTTAAGTCAATGAAGAAATGAGTTGGGGGGGGTTGTATACCCTGATTCGGTGGAAACAGTGAGAGAGGTTGTTGGCCTTGGTTCAACCCTCCATCCAAAGGGAGATGGCAGCCGAGAAATCAGAAGAAGGATGAGCCTCGGAAGGGCAGCAACAAAGGAATTAGAAAAGCCATCACATCTAAGGAGGTGTCGCTGGAGATCAAGACCGCAATCATCCACGCTCTTGTCTTTCCAGTCAGCTTGTACGGGCGTGAAAGCTGGACAGTGAAGAAGGCTGACAGGGGGGAAAAAAGATAGATTCATTTGGAATGTGGTGCTGGAGAAGAGCTTTATGGATCCCCTGGATGGCCAGAAAAACAAACCAAGGCATCCTTCATACGGTTGCCATGAGTCGTAATGTGGTGGCACATTAAAAAAACAACAAGAAAGAAATGCACAAGGAGTTCACTGTAAAGAAAGCGCAAATGCTCACAACCTGATGTGAAAGGAAGAAGGGGGGGAGGGAAGTGCCATTTAATTTTGGGAATGTAACATCAGAGCAAAGATTTCCACACGGATGGGGAAAAAGATCAGATTAACGCAGGCCAGCGTAACAGCGATAGACGCGTTTGAAGTATGGATTTATCTCAGGATGCTAAGAAATGTTATGGTTCGAGAGAGTGGCCTCAAAAAAAAAAAGATGTACGTAAAGGCCAAAGAATTATGAAACACGGACCATGCAGAAAGCTGGAATGTTTTGGCCTCATCATGAGAAACGAGAAGCGTGGACGGTTTCAGGTGATAACTCAAGATAAAACAGACAGGAAGAGAAGTGCAGGAATATGGAGAAAGTCGAAGATGCCCGGAGTCAACACAAGAGGATGATTTAGTGTATCCAAAGCCTGAATAGCAAGGATGATGATTAAAGTCTGGCTTCCGTGCTTCTTTCTGTGGTTGTTTCTCTGCTTTTTGAGACTATAGGGCTAGGTGGCCTTTCCAAAGGGGACTTGGGGCCGTATCCTGGCTCGCCAGTCTGCAGAACGAACCAAGGAGGGGGTCGGCCTCCAGATACCGCCGCATTGGCTTCTCAAGTTTTGGAAATAAGTTAATCATACATAGAAAGAACTTCCTTCTAAGGCCATTAAACTCAACCCACAATAAAAAATTACCCAACGATGGCTGTGGTCAAGGTGTGGCAGCATCCGCACGCTCCTAAATCTATCAGCTTGTGATAGTCCTGGTTCGTTCTTTCTTTGAATGCATTCAGAAGTGGTCATTTCAAGATTCTGTTGCAAGTAGAATTATGTTTAAATGGTGCCTCTGCTCCTGAGGAGCACTCTCTCTTTCTCATCGGCCTGGTTCCCTTGTAAGGACAAATCCCTTCTTGATTCTGGTGCCATGTCCTCCCCCGTGAATAGCATGAAACATGGATGTGGACATGGGTTGCATTTCTGGGAATTCTGGGGATTCTGGTCCAAAAAAGTCACATTTCCAAGCTTTGATTTTCACACGTGCTTTCCCTGAAGGATGCAGGTTGTAGTTAGGGTTCCTCATGTACTCATTTCTACCGTTTCCCTCACTCACATATATGTACACATTCCCCTCCCCTCTCCAGATATGCACATTTAAAGTCATTTTCCGGTTGCATGTCTGGGTTTGTGTGTATTTTTTTCTCCACCAAGAGATTCCGTTCTGAAAAAAAAAATCACCTCTGGTTTATGAATGTGGGATATTGTGCTTCAGTAGCCAGTTGGCCTTGTTGTTGTTGTTTAGTTGTTAAGTTGTGTCCAACTCTTCATGACTCCATGGACCAGAGTACGCCAGGCCCTCCTGTCTTCCACTGCCTCCCGGAGTTGGGTCAAATTCATGTTGGTTGCTTCACAGACACTGTCCGTCCATCTCGTCCTCTGTCCTCCCCTTCTCCTCTTGCCTTCACACTTTCCCAACATCAGGGTATTTCCCAGGGAGTCTTCTCTTCTCATGAGATGGCCAAAGTATTGGAGCCTCAGCTTCAGGATCCGTCCTTCCAGTGAGCACTCAGGGTTGATTTCCTTCAGAATTTATAGGTTTGTTGTCCTTGCAATCCAGGGGACCCCCAAGAGCCTCCTCCAGCACCACAATTCAGAATCATCCATTCTTTGGCGGTCAGCCTTCTTTATGATCCAGCTCTCACTTCCATACATCGCTACTAGAAAAACCATAGCTTTGACTAGATGGACCTTTGTCGGCAAGCTGATGTCTGTGGTTTTTAAGATGCTTGTCATCGCTTTCCTCCCAAGAAGCAGGCATCTTTTAATTTCAGGGCTGCTGTCACCATCTGCAGTGATCCTGGAGCCCAAGAAAGTAAAATCTGTCACTGCCTCCATATCTTCCCCTTCTATTTCCCAGGAGGTGATGGGACCAGTGGCTATGATCTTCAGGTTTTTGATGTTCAGCTTCAGACTGT